CCTTTTTCAGGAAATTAGTAATAATCCAGAACATAAACTATATCGATTTTTACCGAAGTTAAATAAATGTAATTTTAAGCTTAGGAATACTCGTAAATTTCAAGTTCCTGTCTGTAAAACTAACAGACTTCAGAACAGCTTTTTTTATAGTGATTGTACATAGTTTAGTCGTACTTAGATCTTTTAATTGTATTTTTGATGTTATTGTAAATTCCTAATCTAATTCAGCTCAATTTTGGTGTAAATTTTGGGATCATTAAACTATCTATCTATCTATCTATCTATCTATCTCTATAGGGTTAGTTAAGTCTGGTGAAAGTTCCATAAGGGATTTGATGTGCTGAAAATGTTCGCAACAGTCGATGTGGGCGTTGATTTCCGAGTTTTCTCGCGTGCTATGCTCTTTAAGACGCGTGTATAGACAGCGTTCTGTTTTACCAATATTGGTGCTTCGGCAACCCGGACATGAAAATTCATATACAACGGAGCTTTTGTATTCATCCGGTGTCTTGTCTTTGCAGGACAGGAAACAATTGGAGTTCGTGGTTCGCCAGTTTAAAATAAATTTACACGGATTCTTTAGTAAACGGCGAGTTATGTTGATGAACTTCTTGGTCAAAATATTGCCGTATATGCCAATAAATGAGAGTCTTATCCACATTTTGCGTAGATTATCAGGTGTTGCGCGTTCTGTAAGGTCAACGTGTGGGATGTTATTGCTTCCCTCCGGGTTTGGTGTAAAGGCATTAATTAGTTTCTTGGTCAGGTTGCGAGAGAAACCGTTCCAGGACATAAAATCTCGTATAGTCTTGAGTTCTAACTTCAATAGTTGATCATTGTTACATAAGTCCAAGTTATTTAGGTAAACGATATAGTCTAGGAAGAATCTCTTTAATTAAAGCTCTATTTAATATAGCCACAACCAAAATAATTAATTTCATCTTATAGTGATCAGAAAGATCAGAAGTTATTTGAAAAATATAGGGGTAAAAACAATTTGTAACAAAGGTTTGCCAACTTGCATCGACCAGTACTTTCATAAACCAGTACAGAATATAGTTCGGGATTTCTTTTATTGTTGGTAAAAACAACCTGGAACACAATACGTAAAACCGCCACTTTCCTCAAACCAGGTCCATATGCGGCCCACCCGAAGCCATTAATGGAAATCTTATGCCAACCCCATTCCCCCATCAACTTTAAGACAGGGAGTGAATCCTCGTCCAGCCTTTTTCCCATCGCGCCAATGCTTAATATCCTCCTTCAGGATTACCCACCGGACAATTAAAAAGTCAACTAATATAAGAAATACGTACAGTTCCTCCTTGAGAGTTGGTCCAACCAATTCCGTGTACTCATGCTGAGTGACATTGCGAAGTATGAGCCTCAAGCAGCCTACACTGCCTTCTTGTCTGGATTACGTCACAGATTTTCCCACCATATCCGCACGATTCGAGATATTCAACGTCAACTGCAGCAGATTGACAACATCACCGACACTGATCTACTTCCTGCACTCACGGCCGGCTGAAATCTTTCCTTGCAGGATCGTAAGCTACTCGCGTTGCCAACACGTCTGGGACGTCTTGGCATACCCATTCTCTCGGATATGTGTACCATGGAGTTTGAGAATTCCACACATTCCAAAACATGTCAGGGCCTTACAGAGAAGATCTTCGAGCAGAATAATGTCAGAGAAGACAGACCTGCCGAGCCAGTCCAGAGAATACGTCGTTTTGTAACTGATGAGAAGAAAGAGAGAAACAAAGTCCAACTCGAACTTCTGCGATCGACCATGTCAGCAGAACAGATTCGCGCCAATGATCTTGCTCAGTTGAAAGGTTCTTCAATCTGGCTGACAGCTCTTCCACTTACTGACGACGGATAAGTCATCAATAAGCGGGAATTCTTTGACGCAATCTACCTTCGTTATCATCTGGCGGGAGTTGAAACGTCTACCGACTCACTGTGCCTGCATGTGGAAAGGTGTTCACCGTCGACCATGCCTTATTTTGTTTGAAACGAGGTTTCATTCACCGTCGACATGATGAGGTACTGTACGAGATCTTCTAGCAGCTGCCATTGATGAGGTCACATATGACATGTCAACGGAGCCTGCTCTTGCTCCGCTGTCTGGGGAAACGCTTCCACCGAGCGCCAACTCGGCCGACGACGCTCGAGTAGACATCGCAGCAAGAGGTTTCTGGCAGAAGTGTGAAAAAGGCCGTTTTCTGATGTACGGGTATTCGACCCTTATGCCTCGACACACAGAATCCAGCGCCTCACCAATGTCTTCAAGGCAAATGAAAAGGAGAAGTAGTGGCAACACAACCAGAGAATTGTCCAGATCGAACATGAATCGTTCACGCCGCTGGTATTAAGCGCATTTGAAGGTTGCAGCAGGGAAACGCGGCATTTCTAACAACCTTGGCAGATCGGAGTGCTGTCATAAAACACTTCCAGCCTTCTATTGCCATGAGCTGGTTACGGAAGATCGCCCTCGCCCTCGTGCACAAGTCCTTTGTGTGCGAGGCAGTCGTACGGGAAGAAAACTCCCATTCCCATCGCTTCGGACATTGAACTTTCCGAAAGAAACTCTAAACTTTAAAATTTCAAATTATATGTTTATATAATGTTTTTGATGATACTCTGAGTGTATATCTACACCGGGCAGGCTGAAGAGTTAGCCTGACCGTGCAGTGTGAATCGAACCCGCGATATATAGAGGATATTAGACGGTTGCGAAGAGATATGGATTTTATGTTCGAGTGGCAAAAGATATTGTTTTTGACACGAGAACATAAATCCATATTTTCTCGTAACCGTTTAATGTTCTGTTTATTATACTGTATGACTTATTTAGAGTGACAAAAGTACACACAAAGACGACATGTAAATAAGCACGCGAAAGACCAGTGTAAATGCGATATTTGTTAAAATTATAGTGCGAACATAAAACTAGAATAAATTTTACTTATCTCAAGATGTCTTTTAAATGTTTTCGTTTTATTTCCAACGTTAATTTCGTTTTAAATACGAACCAAAGACCATTTGTATTTTCAAAACAACAGCAATGAAAATGCAGGGGTGAAATACGGAAAATACGCGCACCTGGCCCCGGATATAGTGACGTATGAGTTCTACGAGTGTTTTAGTTTCCAATAAAACACCATTGCATGTCCATATAATAAATGTTTATATATTCAAATTTTATGGAAAACTAAAAATTTCATATACTCAGCATGCTTGAATAACCACGTTGTATACCTTTTTTGTTGTGGTGTTAACTGTAATAAAATTTGTTTTCACGAATGTAAGAAATACATGCAGTTAATCACAAGAGTATTAAGGAAGGTCCCTTAGCGTACATCATACCATATACCAACTGTCCTATGTTACGGGAATCGCAAAGAAAGTTGACGAGATTAAAAAAAGTTACTGAACTTAATAATGACAATGCAATACGTATATAACTGAGACATAGTTGTCTCCAAATGTTCCAGATTCCTCTGTCGTTATCCATGCGTGATACAATCTATTTCGGAAAGATTGTAATGAGTGATTACAACAGGAGCAGTAGTGTGCATTTATCTAATCAATACAATTCCCTGTAAGAGGCTAGACCAATGTAACCATAGATATCTTATATACACTATAGATAGTGCATCTAATTATTCTGCAATTCAAAAATTGAAGCCGTGACTGCAGGCTCAGGATCTTCCCATGAACTGAGAAGATTCGTATGTTTTCTATTTTTTTAAACAGGGAACTTAAATATTAAGTTAAACCTATTCCAAATACATTTATAAACTATTCAAATGATAAAATTAAGTTATTGTTGTTTTTTAAGCGTCTATTAGCGAGTGGGAAACACCAACATGGCCGCCATCTATTCAAATGGGGGTAACCGCTGGAATATTCGTGGCTTTAATTTTACTAAAAGAGATGCGTTATCTAGTCTATATAAGATATCTATGAATGTAACGAAGAAGGAGTTGAATCTCTATGGATTTCAATGAGACCCTATTTTTACCAAGGAATATAACATCGATAATACTGTCATTAATATACCATACGACCTCTAATCGCGAATCTGAGAATATTATTCTTCGACAACATATGCAACGTAACCTTGATAATCTATTAGCTATAGTCGGCCAAATGCGCTTGCAATAATTACTGGCGACTTCAATCCTACGTCAACTGGATTTCCATCGAAAGATTTGACTCAAACAAATCATCTGGAACAACTTATCATTTTTAATACAAGGGATTCTGGTATTCTGGATTAGTTCCCGACAAATCGGTCTAGGTTATTTCAATTAGCTCAGTTGCTTAAAATTGCATCCTCCGATCATTTTATAATACTGGCGAAACCACTTCTAGGACCTAAGAACCAAGTAACTAAAAAATTATATCTCGTGATATGAGGGATAGTGCCTGACGTGCGTTTGATCGCTGGATAACCCAGAAATATTGGAACCCACTCCTTACTACTTCATCCTGTGAAGATAAATTCCAACTATTCATCAACGAGTTAAAGCAAGGTATCGATTGCTATCTTCCACAAACGACATTAAAAGTTCACCAAACAGATTGCCCATGGATGACAAATAAACTCAAAATATGGATCAGAAAACGCCAAACCGCATTCCAAAGACATGGCAAAAACGCATATATAAACACTGGACGAATAAAATTCAGAGAGAAATTAAATCGGCCAAGTCACATTATTATAAACATGAAGTTGCAGAATTGGGTCAGACTAATCCCCGGAAATGGTGGAAACATAGAATTATGGGACAAGACATTCAACAGGAACAACCGTCTAAATTCGCCTCGGCACTCGGCAATTGTCGAGGCTAGTTACGATTTTCATAGTTTGCCTTGGCAAAAAAATGGCGAGGCAATTGCAGCCGTTAAGACGAGGCAATTCCACCAATTAACAATTGGTGGAAATATGAAAGAACAGGAGAAAGAAAAAAAAAAAACTCTTTGTTCCTGATACGTTTTCTATGCTTATAGCGCACAACGATTACTAACACCACCAATGCGCGGCCAAGCTCTTATTACATAAGCGCCCGACCCTCTTTTCGGTCACCTGATGTGCTGACGTAACGAGGCTTGGTTCCCTAGCTGTTAACCTTTGTTATTGCATAACCTCATGAAAAATTTACCCCCGCAAGTTTTCTCACAAGAGCCACTCCACCACGGACGCGCTATTATTTTTGCGTCAACCCGGTTTATGAGGCCCTCGATATAGCGGAATGCTTGCGCTCGTTTCTTTTTTGCTGACTTTAGCAAAGGGTTCGATCGTATTGACTACCATGTTCTTTGCAGGAGGTGATAAAATTGGATATTCATCCTGTCTTACTTAATTGGATTAATTCTTTCCTTGCCAATAGAAAACAGGCTGTCAGAATAGGGGGAACTTTGTCAGATTAGAAATCCCGGAACGGTGGTGTACCTCAGGGAACTAAAGTTACTAAACTTGGAGTTATTCTTTTCTCGGTTATGACAAATAAGCTAATATCTGATTGGCATTTAAGGACAAAGTTTGTCGATGACACAGCTGCGCTAGAGATCATTCCCAGGAACTCAATTAGTTATCTGAACAATAAGGTAGATGAATACATCAATTCTCTTAAAAGAGTCTCGACCCACTTAAATGCAAGGAGATGATGACCAATTTTATGAATAATAACAACTCTATAATGAGGCACTTTGTAATTGGCAGCAACGTAGTAGAAAGGGTAACCAATTATAAATTACTTGGAGTTCAAATGAGAGAGGATCTTAAGTGGAATAAACGTGTTCATTATATCTACAACAAAGCTTGTAAGAAGCTATATTCCCTACGCGTCCTTCGTGCGTTGAGCAAAGGAATACTAAAAGTGTACATATGGAACTACTATCAGACCCGTATTGGAATATGATGTACTAATATGGCAAGCGATCCCTGACTATTTTATTACTAGAAGTTACTATCGCAAGAGTGCTGCCTCATTCCCAAGGAATCAAAGGCAGCATGTGCATGCAATTTGCTAAATAAGGGCACAGAATAGAGAATAACAGAGGCCGGACTTCTTGGTTTTTCCCATGATTCATTCACCCCCTGGTAATATTCAAAATGGCAGACGTCCAGGGGGGATGCCTCTCATAAGCGCACTGGCTAGGATGATGAATCATGGTGTAGCAGCGGTTACGCCTTTTTGGCCGAGTCGACCTTCTGTGTGTCTTTATTCTGTGATAAGGTGCTGTTTATATCATCCCACTTTGGCAGTACGAGATCAGATGTGAGGCAGGATCATTTTAATGTATTGAAATAAGTCACAGTGCACGATTGTGCAAACAATCACATTATTTTCTAGAGATAGACTATAGTTAACTGTAAACGAAAGGTTATTCAAGCAGCAATAATAATCTTCTTGAACTACAAGATCTTTTTACCAGTATTTGAACTTTTGTTTAGCCTAGCGACTTATTTCAATACATCAAAATCTTCCATCATGTAAATCTTCCATCATGTAAACAGCCCCTAAGACACCTGTTCAGGAGGTAGGAAATTAAAGTGCAATTTGAATATGAAACATCTTGCACAAAGTCGAAGGTCAGCTAAATATTCTAATTCTACTTTCTTGGTTTTAATACTTCAATGCTCATAATTTCTTGCTCCCACACGTACAATTATAATACTGTCAGTGGCAAAGCTACAGTAGCCTGCATGATTAGGCAATCGCGAAACTAGCCATAGCGACAGGTCATGCTACATGTATGCAAGTTTTTAATGATTTGCAATATTCAAATAAATGCAAGTTTGTTAGTATATCATGACCAGTTGCCATGGCTACCTTGCCGCTGAATACTGCAGAATATCATATATAGAAATACTAAGTTATTTTTTCTCTCAGTTATCGTTTTAATGGCACCTTCAAAGCTACCCCTATCGCAGAACAACTGAACAATCTGCTATTTGTTGACATTTTTGTTTAATAAGTCCGCTTCAGATGACACCATTTATTGTAATGATTAAGATTGTACTCAATAAGAACAGCAAAACTATATTATTAACAAGAACGAAATTGTGAGCATTATCGAAAAATATTGTATACCCTGAATAGTGACAATTGTAGCCCGGTAGGATTATTTCATATTATGCTAACAATGAACATATAGTCTCAGAGATATAAACAGACCTTGTACAAAAGTCGTAAATACAATCCACAATGGGTTGCTAATTTCTATAGGGATCTTATTTAGCCCGATTATTAAGACGTGCATACACAACATTCCGCGTTTGTTTTTAAAGCGTGCTGAAAGCACATTGCTATAAATATAATGTTCTGATATTTAATAGACTTCTTGATATCGCGGCTACATGTAAACAACTGAATATATAATGTCCATATTCTAAATATAAACTAATCGTAATACGTGCGTTAATGATTAATAGACGTACATTACTATACCATTCCCTTTGTTTTAACTTGATTGTCAAATATCAAAGTGTTTAATTAAATTTGAAGTTATTTAGCTATTTCATTGTTATGTTAGTTTATTAGATTTGATGGATATTCATGTCCGTATCGATTCGGTGGTCTTCGAATTCGGCTTGATCTTCTTGGTACTTCGTTGTTTTCATTACTGATGGATGGCTGATTGTCCTGCGAGTTTTCTTCATAATCGAAACCTTCATCATCAGTGTCTTCTTCTCGTGGTTTATTTATTCGCTTGAAATGTGACACGTTCCGTTTCACAATGTGACCATCTTTACTTTGGGCAAGTATCTCTGAACCAGTTTTCTTTATCACTTTATACGGTGTGTGATTAAAATTCACAGTTAGCTTGTTTTTCTTTTCTTGTCTAACCAGTACATAACCTCCAACTTGTAGATCACTTTTTCTTGTGTTTGATTTGCATATTCTCGGTTGCGTTCTTGTCGTGTTTTCTCATTGTCTCGAGCTTCTTTATGTCGATTGACAATCTTCTTGCTGTTTATAACTGGTAATTTTCCTTTTATCACTCGGTTAAAAACAGTTCTGATGGAGGTACTCCTGTAGTGCAATGTGAAGTGGTACGATATTGTAAAAGAAAACGGTTCAATTCTTGTTTCCATGGTCGTCCTTCGAGTGTCGCTGTCTTGAGCGCTTTTCCTAACGGTCGCATAAATCGTTCAACTGTAGCATTACCTTGGGACCAGTAGGGTGTTGAAAACTTAGCTTGAATACCAAGGGCTTTCAGATATCGTGCATATTCGTCTCCGTTAAAAGGGGGACCATTATCAGATATAATGGTGTCAGGAATGCCATGGACTGAGAACATTTTGTCAAGTTTTGGAATGACTGTTGAGGTTCGTGTTGAATGAACGATCTCAACCTCTGGGAATCTGGAGTATCTATCTACCGCCACTAAAAGATATTCAGACGATGGTAGTGGACCATAAAAATCTTTGTGGACAGTTCTCCATGGTAACTCTGGCATTTCGGTCACACGTAATGGTTCTGGAGGATTCGCCTGTCCGACAGCTTGACAAGGGGTGCACTTAGCAATTGTGTTTTTGACTTGGTTGTCAATTTGCGGAAACCAGATTTTTTCAAGAATTAGAGACTTAGTTTTCTCTATTCCTAAGTGTGTCTCATGTGCTATATCTATTGCACGTTATTGTAGAGCAGCAGGAATGACAATCCGTGTTCCTCGAAGTATAACACCGTGTGTGGTAGACGTAAATTCGTTTTTTACGGCTTTGAACGGTTTTACAATTGGGGAATCCCATTTGTTTGTTTTAATTGCATCATGGAGTGCTGTTAGTGCCGCGTCTGCGTTAGTTGCATTGATTATTTCTTGTAATGCCATCGCCTTAGGGACACTGTTCTGAGTTATAAAATTAATATATTGTTGCGTCTTCTTCTCCTGTGTTCGTTCGCTTTCGTTTGTTGGATGACGAGAAAGATAGTCCGCAGGGTTGCTGGCACCTGATTTATAAAATATCTTAAATGTATATAGTTGGAGGCGAAGCACCCATCTTTCAATTCGTGCTGTTGTTTTGGCTGTACAGTACGTTGACCATAAATAATTTCTAAAGGTTTATGGTCAGTTATTGGTGTAAATTCACTTCCAAATAAAAATAAATGGAAATATTCAACCGCCCATACTATCGCTAACGCTTCTTTTTCCGTCTGGGAGTATCTCTTTTCTGTATCAGTCAGCGCTCGGCTGGCATATGCAATTATCTGTTGACTGTCTACGTCACCGTTTCTTGCTTTCTGAGAAAGAATTCCAGAAATTCCTACAGGACTAGCATCAATTGTTACAAAAGTTTGTTTGTTTTTGTCGAAATATGACATACATGGAGGAATTGCAAGCGTGTTTTTCCACGCTTGACAAAAGCAGTTTGGTGTGTTTGAGTCCACTCAAAACGAACATCCTTTTTCGTCAGGTCACGAAGGGGAGCAGTTAGTGTTTCGAAATCTCGAATGTACTTACTACTATAGTTGGCCATGCCAAGAAAGCTCCTGACTTCATGTGCATTATTTGGCTGAGGTGCATTTAATAGATCAGCTACTCTCCTAGGATCAGGATGAGTGCCTTCTTTCGAAAAGACCTGTCCGAAAAATGACAGTATAGTACTAAGGAAATTACACTTGCTTCGGTTTAGTCGTAAGCCCTTCATTGCAAGTCGTTGTAGACATTTGTCAAGATTAGCGTCATGTTCAGTTCTTGTTGAGCCGAATACAATGATATCATCAGCTATGTTCTTGACGCCTTTAAGCCCTTGCAGTGCGGTTTGGAGTGTGTACTGAAATATCTCCGCTGCAGCGTTTGTACCATAGTTTAGTCTTTTGTAGCGATACAAACCTACATGAGTGCTAAAGGTTGTTATATAACGAGACTGTTCATCCAGTTCTAACTGATGATACGCTTGGCTCAAATCAAGTTTCCAGAAAATTTTTGCTCCATTCAGGGCAAAACTAACATCATTTACTGTTGGTATAGGATGGCGTACTCGTCTTATAGCTTCATTTGCGAGCCGCATATCGACACATATGCGAACCTGTCCGTCTTTTTTGGGGACAGCTACAATGGGTAAAACCCAAGGAGTAGCTTCATTTCCGGGCACTTTTTCAATGACATCTTGATTTTCTAATTCATTTATCGCGTTTTTCACTTTTTCTCGAATGTGATAGGGTATGCGCCTTTGGGGTTGTGCTTTCGGAATTTTAGTTTTGTCTATATCTAGTTTGACTTTTTCTCCCTTCAATTTTCCAAGATCGAAAAAAAACTTTAAAATGCTTTTGAAGGATGTTTTCTAGTGCGGCATCCTTTGATGTCAGTTTGTCTAGATGCAAACTAATAAGTCCGAGTTCTTGTGCAGTAGAAAGAGAAAGTAAGTTTCCACAGTTCGCAGCTTTAACGACATAGAATGTGGCTACAGATATTCGTTTCGTGTTTCGATTACCGCTTCGAATTTTCCCAAAAATTCAACTGGTGATTTCGTATTATACGCGAAAGCTTTCGTGTTCGTGCGAGTTAATTTTATGTTTTGCATTTTGTTAAAAGTGTCACGATCGATCACATTTATTGTCACGCCACTGTCAATTGTTGTTTGAAGTTTGGCACCGCCTACTGTAACATTGACCTTGTTATTGTACTTTGTATTTGTCATGGTATATAAATAGTCTTCATCGGAACTCGAGTTTGATCCTGAATCTAATGTTTTTAAATTTCTTTATGCAAGCTTTTTGTTTGATTATCTCGGTGATTGCGTTTGTTTTTGTTTTCCTCGACAAACAGCAGCGAAATGATTCGGTTTTCCACAATTATTACAGGTTTTCCCTTTCGCTGGACATGCCCCAGTGTGTGGATAAGCACGCCCACAATTTCTGCAAATAACATTACTATTGTTCGAAATACTACCGTTACTAGGTTTTTGTTCTAATTTATTAGCCTCACCGTCAGTTTGTTCTTTAGATTCGATTTGTTGAGCTTGGTACTTGCTCTGTTCGTCACGACGTCCTTCTAAAAGCATTGATTTTAAGTCAAATGTAGGATCACGCAGTGCTCGCTTTCGTATTTTCGATGAATTTCCGCCTATAATGATTTGTTATTCGATTTCAAATTCAACGTCTGCGAATTCACAGGTTTCTGGTCACATTTCTCTATGTCTAGTGTGAAATTGATCTAATGTCTCATTGTGTTCTTGAGTTGTTTGTCGAAAACGATAAACTTCGTACCGCCGATTCTTTTGAGGGTCGAAGTAAGCCTTTAATTTCTGCTTCGCGATATTGTAGTCCGTATCAGTTCCTGTCTCGGGGATTTATTTAAAAATCTTGCGAACTCTCGGTCCAGCTTGATTTAGCAAGAGTGCACGTTTTCGCTTTAAATCCGTTATTCCACTTGCGGTTATATACATTTCGAACTCTGACTGCCAATTGTTCCATCTTGTCGAAAGGCTTGTTCCGATTTTTGCATCTGGGCACAATTCTGGCATTGGAGTTATTGTTACAGATTGCATGATCTGTACAGCCGGTTGCTGCAGTGGTTGAGGCTCGGCCTGCTCTTCCACCATCGTTTCGTTCAATAGAATACGTTTATCTTCGTCGCCATTATAATGTTCTGATATTTAATAGACTTCTTGATATCTCGGCTACATGTAAACAACTGAATATATAATGTCCATATTCTAAATATAAACTAATCGCAATACGTGTGTTAATGATTAATAGACGTACATTACTATAGTAAATATTTAGAATGAACACTATAAACTCATCGCCTTGTCACATCGCCACACAAACAAGTATACTTTGACTTCTTGTATATTGTATAAAATAAGACGATCAGTACGTGAGCTACTGAGCTAGCTTTTTAATAAACTGCTGATAAATTCATGTAATCATATTATTTCAATACTTCTATATCGAACACTAGCCAGCAGATCTGACTATAAATGCCTTCAATGCTTCATGAATATCACCAGAAAGAAACAAAGCCATCCTTACCTGAATTATTCAAAACATATTTGTCGATGAAAATCCAACATACTCGTAGCTGAAATCCTAAAGATTCAAATTGTTCACCTCCCCCACAAAATTTACAACCATCTTTTGAGTATTTTGACAATACATAACTCGGGCCAATGACTGGGGCGAGTGAATGCGGAGTGTCAAGAATAGGAGTCTGCCTTCGGCAGCAAAAAGGCTAGAATCAACACAGAGAGTGGCACTTATAGAATCATTTCCCCTTCCATAGACAGTTATGATGAGGCGACGATGATGGCACAGATACCAACATTGGAGAGTAGACGTGAACAGTTATGTAAAAAAATATATGATGCAATGAAGAAGGAAAATCATCCCCTGCACTTTATGCTCCCAAAACCTAAGATGAGCGAATGCAGGTATAGCTTACGAAGTGGGTAAAACAATACTATTTTGTTTGAGAACACAATTAAATGCAGAACTTTAAGATCAGAATAATTTTTTTACCTGCTGCGGAGCAAGCGAGCGAGCGAAACAGCAATCTAATTTGTGCAGAGAGGCGTCTGTTCATGCAGTACATTTTTCTAGCGCGTTGCATTGTGGTCGCACTCAGTAGTTGTTCGCAGTATACATTCACCCGAATCCATGTGCTTTCATTCACTATACTACAGACTAGTAGATTAGTTTTGGTTTCTTAGTTTAATATACTGTGTATATAATGTGGTAAATGAGCCTATAGCGAAAACTTGTGTTATATAATTTACCTGTACGCGTACTAAAGCAGCGCGTAATTCAACTGATTCCAGTTGCCGGCACATGGTCTTGGAAATATTACATATTTATGCCGTATCTCGTAAGAATGCTTTGTCGTTTGTATTTATACACGACTTGGTCTTGAAAAGATATATCCTTGCATATGCTTTAGTGAATACTACTTCCATAAACATTAACATTAACATTAACATTAACATTAACATTAACATTAACATTAACGTTAACATTAACATTAACATTAACATTAACATTAACATTAACATTAACATTAACATTAACATTAACATTAACATTAACATTATCATTAACATTAACATTAACATTAACATTAACATTAACATTAACATTAACATTAACATTAACATTAACAGGCGCAACTATTCAACGAGACGCACATGTTTAATATATCTGTCACCTGTGATAACCCTTTAACCCCAGGTCTTGGCAACAAATGCATCGCTTTTTCTGTTACACTCATGGCATGAATTGATTCCGTATCCTTACGCTTCGGCCACAGTGCTCACCAGTTCCTGGTTCGCTGCGAGTAATAACTGTGCTTTATATAATTTGAACTATATTTAGTTCTATTTGCTCTTAATGCCCGCAGCAATCCCTACCTTGCAGGTATCCTAGTACATAGTTTTAACAGTTAAATGTACTCATTCATTTTTGTAAAAATAGTTTTAGTAATATTTTAGACTCGTTAATTCAGTGTAAATACTGCAAGAGAGTTTCAATGAACCAGCATCAAATTATTATTACTTGTACTGTCATTACTTTCAGGGCTGTCAAGCCTCTGAACACCCGTGCAAGAGTTCAGTAGCCTGCGTAGCAAGCGTTTCGTGCGGGCGGGAGAAGAGAGGGCGTCGTCGAGGAAACGCCTGCCCAAATGGCTATGATTAATTTTGATGACTAAAGGCCATTTTCCACCAGGCGGAATTTCTCTTTGTCTTTTCTAATTAGTTCCACCCGAGAAATCACAAGACAAAGAAAAATTCCGCTCCTCGAGGAAAATTCCGCCTCGTGGAAAACGGCCTTAATGTGTTTTTGACCGAAAACATTTCCATTGGTCAATTTCGTTGACGGAAGTAATTACGTAACTCAAATGTCAACAATAAGTTTGCCCGCGTATAAATTCTCATAAAAATATGGCTGTTAATGCTTTGGAGGAAACTCTTTCTGATATTTCAAGCTAGTCTTTTATGTTTTGAAATTCAGTTGAAACCAGAACAGAGAAAGTCTATTATTAATTTGCGACGTGGTGAAGACGTTAAAGCGGCTCTGTGTTGTCTAAAATAGCATGAAATTTCCCTATTTGCCGAGCAAAGAAAAACATGCCTGATGCTAAATAAAAATGTCGAGTATAATTGGATAATGGGTGAACCGGTGAAGGTGCGAATTACAAAACGTCGATCAGCCTTAATGGGCGAAAACACATTAGTCATAGCCTTTTGGGCAGGCGTTTCCTCGACGACGCCCTCTTTTCTCCCGCTCGCACTAAACGCTTGCTACGCAGGCTAGAGTTCAGTTCTGAAAGAACTAGGGTGTTCATTAGCTTGAACAGCCTCTAAGACAAAGAACAACAGCACACTCGCATTTGACAGTATAGCGCTAGCCATGTTAGATTGTTCTGAATTTTTCCGCTGTGACTATTAAGAACAGAATTCCCCATCACGTCTTGTAACGTCATGAAATATAAGGTATATTGACTTTCCGTTAATTAATTTCACTGCTTCGGATCAGGAAACCAAAGGTGGGTTGACTACAAAAATTTTTTAGTTCGCTATATTCTTGACGTGCAATGATGTGGGCGACGGCCATGTTGGTCCCTTTTCAGCAAAAGAATCTCATTAACTTCCTTTGAATTTGAGACCAACATGGCCGCCGTGCCATATTGTATTCTAATTCTCAAGGGATTGATTGCAAGTCAAGAATAACTGCAGTTACTTCAAAAATATGTAGTCAGCTACAACTACTGCTACTTTCAAACAAAGGTAGTTCGCTACTGACTACAGCTACTACTTAATTTAATTTTAAAAATGTATCATGCTATTCTATCAAGGTGCTAACAATTTTAAAAAGTGGCGAAAAGCGATTCGCTGTTTGAAAAGTAGTCAAATACTTAGCTACTTTAGGTTAAATGTAGTTCGCTATAACCATACAGCTACTGTTTTAAAAAAGTAGTCAAAAACTACTGGCTAGTAATCTCGATAATAAACGATCAAAGAATTCTTAGTTTGCACTTGACGTCATGGCGAGATTATAGTAGAAGCTATTGAATTTGGAATCAAACATGGCCGCTACTGTATATCTTTGTCTTATAAATCTCAAGTGATTGATAGCGACCCACCAATAATTGCGGATACGAATACAATCTCCCCCCCCCAAAAAAAAATCACCATCCCCCAAAAAACACAACGAAAACATCTAAATAATTGTGTATTTATTGCAATGATCAACTTATCTATAACGTAGGCATCTCACTCGCTTGAATAATACATTAATAGTTTTAGGGTATATGGAAATAATCAAGTGGAAATTTATATACATTTATTAGACCTAACGAGCTAGAAACAGCAGCGAAAAATGCAATTTTAGGTCCCTGGCAGGAATTAAACCAATGGTCATGCGATTCCGGCGTAGCGCTCTAACAAACTGAGCAACAGAGGCTAGTTGTCGAGCTCTAACCACAAGTTCATGTATACTGTATACACTAAGGTACGTCGTACTGCCATATGCATATAGATTATGGGTAAATATCAATATTTTGCGGTTGGCATCTCACTCGCTTGAAAAATAGTTGAAGAGTCTTCTAGATGGAAATTATCAAGTGGAAATTTATATACTTTGAGTTAATTTAAAGTTTCAGATTATACAAGTTGCCAATGGGTACGTTTTTTAATTTTCAGGTAACACATTTTGGCAAATAGTGCGAAAAAATTCTCCCAAACGCGTATATGGTATCCTAAAATGGTACATCATTAGTCAACCGCCTATTAATGACTATAAATCAAGCTTGTAGTTTTTGGGGTGCCTTGGTTTTGGGGGTACATATACCTGTAGTTCACTTGTACTCCCCCATGCACCCACCTACCTCAGATAAGGTCGATCGTGGCGGTCCTTTTTTAACGGCTAAAAATGCTCAAAATTTGCGGTATTTCATGTCTTTGAATATTAAACTGTTTTTTTCACTAGTACATGTATTTCGCATAAACAATGCACTACTATTAAAAGATAAGTCTATAATCTATAATGTTTTTTATTTGTAGTTCTATCATTATTTTAACATATTTACTTTTGAATATTTGATGTGCTGTTTAATAAACGAGCAGGAGTGTTTTATTAGGTTTAAAGCCACTGCACGTGACATATTATGGTTGACATGATTTGCCAATAGACATCTTTCGCATAAGCCAAAGCCATATGATAATGGGCCACAAACAGTGATAAGTCATTTGTTTATGGTAATACGATGCAAATAACCACACCACTTTGCCTCGCTTCATTTCATTCGGCATTTTATTGTTACATTAACTACAATTCAGAAAAACAGTGTAAATGTGTAAACCACTATTCCTCAAACACATCATTTCTTCTTGTATACACTTACACACACACACAACCACAATTTTCAGTCACACTACTCATTACTACATTAGTCAGAATCTGACTATTAAAGAACCTATTTTGTCCATCATCACGAGGGCCTTCTTGCACATTGTTGTATGTGCTGCATATGCGGCCGTTTCGTCTTTTCTTCCTTCTCGTCGTCTTTTCTTGTCAACTTTTTGGGGTTTGGTTTGTTTGACGTCAACGTTCATTTCACTTTCGCTGCTGTTGGGTGCTTGTGGTATATTATTCGCTGGTCTTTGCATTTCCAAACCGCTTGTGCCTTCGCCATCATCCTCTTTAGGACCCATTATCATTTCGTCGTCGGTGCTACTGCTTACATTGGATGCAGCTATTGCTAGTTTTTGTTTTATTCGCTGCTCTGGAGTCTGTTTTGTGGCATATCGCATATCTTTATTATTTTTTGTTGACAGCATGGATGAGGACTGGTTTGGCTTGTTAATTTTGGAATGTTTGCGTTGTTGATTGATAATCCTCTTTACCTTTTGATGGCGGCCTTTCTATTCGTTTTGTCGTAGTATTCTATAGTCTTTTCTTTATATCCAGGCAAGTCCCCAACACGTGTCTTAACGTAATCCAGAATGTTGCTCCATCCTGTACAAGCTTGATACGCCTCCACGATAAGATTTTTATGCAGCAGCGTTTTCGTCTTGTGGTGTCTGTGGTCAGTGAGCCTTCCTCAACTGAATAGAAAATAGATTTAAGTCACTGAAATATTGAAAAGATTCCTCGTTAACACAAAATATGTCAATATATACCTGCAGAATCTTCGTTCGAGCTATCAAAAGTAACAGGTCTCCAAAGGTTTACCATAATGAGCTTCAAATTGCTTCTACCCAACGGAGCGTATGAATGATGCGATATGCAGTTTATCAGGTTTTTGAGGACTGCTCCTAACTGTTTCTGTGATATATGTAGTTAAATTAATAATAAAATGCCGAATGAAATGAAGCGAGTCAAAGTGGTGTGGTTATTTGCATCGTATTACCATAAACAAATGACTTATCACTGTTTGTGGCTCATTATCATATGGCTTTGGCTTATGCGAAAGATGTCTAATAAGCATATGAACTATTAATGAGTGTTTGAATTAATAATACAAAAGCTGTACTGCAATAATATTAACTTAGGACAATTATAGTCGGCCACGAGATAATCGACAAGTAGATGTAAAAACCCACCCACTCACTCATAACGTCAATTTTACGGTTTAACCCATAGAGTCGCATTGCAACCTAATGCGCCCTACTTTATTATTTTTCTCTGTCTAATGTCAGACGATTTCACTCATCAAGAGGAGAGCACTGGCACTTAATGGTTAACTGGCCTATCTGCTCAGATGTCTAGTTAATTTAACCCATTGAGTCGCATTGCGCCCTCATGCGCCATACTTTATTATTTTACTCTGTCTAATGCCAGACGATTTTACTCTTCAAGGGGAGAGGCATTTAATGGTTAAATAACATACCGAAACACGTTCCTACTTCCATGAATTTCTTGCTTGCATTACGATATATTTAACCGCGGTTCGTTTTCAAAGGCCGATGCTGAAAGATTTGGTGACCAAAATCAGCGTGTCACAGCATCTTTTTGTAGCGTATGTATTTGTTTGAGACTGTATATATAGCTAGAAGTTTATTGCGTGACTTGGGTGTCGTGACAAATAGAATTCGTCTGAATGTTTGAAATAGATTTTTATTCGCTGTTGAATTGAATTTGTCCTTTACTCCTACGTGGCAACATGAATATGGACGTAGACACTGTACTTGTTATTCTTTTGAGTAGCTGTCCCCTTAGACTCCACTAGACTGCATATGGCATGCTCATTTTCTTTGTTCGATATATTAAATGTTCAATATGTGTGCGGTTCAACGAGTAGGAATTACAGGGGAAAATATCGATCATTAATAAAATAAAATATCGAGTACAATACTAGACTAAATGCTAAATCAACTTACTACTAAGTATTTTGCCAATGCATGCTAAATTACATTGACATTGTAAATATGCGCACGCGATTAAACAAACTAAAATGAAGCAAATTTCTTACTTGGGTCTGTTCTTGTCCCTCAAACAATAGTCGCTTCGGATTGAAGTATATATCCTTTAATTGGTAGATTACATTGTTCGTAATCATTAGAACACGCGCCCGGGCTAAGTGTGTAATTTTCGCCAGCAATGTGATATGGGATGGGTCAACGCTTCATTTGCTATGATTGGCTAATGACTGCCGTTTGCGTGGCAACAGAAGTAGTTTCCTGTATCACATACGCTTGTCGTCGCGAACATTTTGCCCTTCGGTCAAATGAACTCTCGTGAAAATTCAACTAAATTGACTGTAGGTATTTGCGTGAGGCGACTTACCTAAACATTTTGCCATTGGCTTAAACTGAATGTTGTTATTATTATTTCACTAAATGGTCAAAGGGCCGTATTTCCGTGAGACGCATTTTGCCCTTCGCTGTAGCTGACTGTTGTTATTATTATGAAAATGAAAGGGCCGTATTTGCATGAGACGACGCATTTTGCCCTTCGCTCAAACTAACTGTTGTTATTGGGATTATTATAAGTAATAGCATGGCATTCAGGGCGATTAGTGATTAAATGTATCCGAAAACCGAGAGTGGTTTAGTAAGGTTTAGTAAGGTTTTACTAAACCTCTCGAGGCTTGAGGGACATTTCATTACTAATCGACCGTAATGCCATGCTATTACTTTGTAATATCATAGTTAACGGGGGAATCGCGCGTGGTGTGTTGCCTGTTTTGAATGCTGTTTGATTGTCTTATGATTGTGATACGAACACTTTTGATATATACGCACGCGCAGAAACACATCTCCGTGTTCATTGGCGTTTTAGGCATGCGCATAAACGGAATTTTCTCCCACAATTGAAATGTTCAAGATTAGGGAATAAAAGCTGGCAAAGTGATTGTTCGAATGTGTACGGGACGGTGTCGTCAGATACTGTCCATAGTTGTGCCGATGATTTTAGATGAGGTACGCTTTTGTCTTCTAAATTTCCCTCATCAAGCATGCAGGGGAAAATTAGAACTAATTTTACCACGGGCAAAATTAGTTCTAATTTTACTCCATGTTTTAGTAATGAGGTAAATTAGTGATTAATCGTACCTTGCGAGACAAAGGATTTCGAGGCAACTATGATATTATTGAACTAAACTGTCACAAGGCCGTATTTGCGTGACACAGTCATGCCCTTCGCTCAAACTAACTCTTGTTATTATTGTCATTATTATTATTATTAAAAAGGTGGGGGTCTACCTGAAATTGACAAATTCCGGCTGGTCTACATTGCAAGCCTGTAGCTGGCTAGGAATTTTAGCTAAATGCATAAAACTATATATCATTGGAAAGCTTATTTAACAAGGATGTTAAATATACTATTTTCGTTTTGATGCCTCCAACTACTACTTCCAAAATTTATTTTTAGTCTCAACCTTCATTTCAAAAATATAACGTCTACTTGAGAAAAAATATCTCCCAATGATATGAATCAAATTTTACTGTTCCATGCTATTTATGAACTACAAGGCAAGTAGATCAAAATGAGCGATGGAATTTTTTATATTCCAAATAGTTTTTTAACAATGTCATCTCAAAATATCAAGTAAATTAAGCAGTGCCTTTTTTAAGGAATTTTCACTGGGGGGGCAAAACATGAAAAAAGGCAGAACGAAAAATATAAGCCGTGGAGGTTTGGCGAACGCGCGAGTCTGAAGAGAGATTTTGTAAAACTTTTTATTAACTTCACCTATATAAACAATAACTTCAACTCTTTGTAGCTATAATCGTACAGCTATAACCAGTGGCGTAGCCAGACCTTAATTTTTTGGGGGGGGCGAACCTCACGCCGAAGGCGTGAGACCGTCTAGGAGGGTCCGGGGGCATGCCCCCCCTGGAAAATTTTGAAATATAGGGTCCCTGAATTGCGATTTCAAGCATTTTGGGAGTGAAATTCCGAAGAGTTCCGAAGATTTATAGTACATCGAAGACATGAATTTTTCCAGACATTTCTACTCGGAATTAAATAAATTGGAAAAGTCACCTTGAAAAATAGGAGGAGGGGCCAGTGTCACCTTATTTCCTCTCTGTGATGCTGGGGGGCGGGGGAATCCCAATGTGATTTTGATCAGATATGTTGCATTTAAATCATTTTAGGTTCTATGAGACACCATTTCCGCATTCTCAAAATTGCGTTGCTTTTTCATACGATACAGAATAAATCTGAGAAGAAATATTCATGCTATGATGATGCATACATGTATTTAACAGTTAAAAATCTAAACTAAATCTATTCTTCTTGGAAGAAATCTATCGCTATTATGAAATACTCGGTGAAGAACAATATGAATTACACACAAGATGGCTGTGGAGGGGGCTATGAAAGGGCATAATCTCATTATCAAGTAAATCAACTGCAATTCTGACAGCAATCATGAGCAATTCTGCTTCGCACTTCGGGGCAGAAATGGCTTTACTGGGGGGGGGGGGCAAAATCTTTCCCTGGGGGGCAATTGCTCCCCCCCAGATATATAGTTAAAAAAGGCACTGAAATTAAGGTAAGAAAAATTATGCAGTATTTTCTTTCCCAAATTAAGACAATGTAACCTATACAAAATTCTATCCCTCACTTTACTTGTTATAGTGTGCTAGAGAAACACAGAAAATTTCAGCCTGATTGGTTGAGTTGTTACGGAGATATCTTTTCTCAAAGAAGGAAAATACAGCGTTTCGGGAAATCAGCTTTAAAGTTTTTGTATCTAAAAAACAGAGTGTTTATGATATAAATATGGAATATACCTGAACTTTCTGAATAGTAATGACTCTGAAACTGTCTAGTAAAAACATAGTTGTAATTTAGAACCCCCCTGCCTCATAAGTCACCCTTTTTGCCTCTCTGCAAGTGCTTCCTCTCGTCTCCATTCTCCTCATCCACATCAGTATTGAGATTGTTTTTGACTTTCACGAGATTGTGCAATTGTTCTGCTGCTTTCGACAACTCAGTGTGAGCTTCAATTTCTTGTCCTGCAAGAATGATTTCAACTTGTGCAGAACACGCCTGCTTTGACAAAGAAGGAATATTCATTATTGCACAAAAAGAGGACAGCGATTCATATCCTCCACCTGTTTCCAAGGAATGATATACTGCTCGTCTGTTTACATCAAATGATCTGCCTCTGTCCACTGTCATTGCATTGTCCATGTCTCCATTTTTGTCGAATGATCACATTCAGTGCAACTGATTGAAAACTCTGACATTAGACCAGCCCTTGCACTAGGATTTTCAGTGACATCAAGTTTACCTATAAATAATCACATATTTATTATTACAGTTAACCTTTTTAACATACTGTAGTGTATAAAATATATATGTAGTTACTAGTTAAACATTGTGACATTAGGTTTAAAATATAAAATAGTTTTATTACAAAAGTGCTAAGTAAAAACAATTGCATAACAAATCAACAATTCAATGATTTACGTGTAAATAACAAGAAATTGTAGCAAACCTTCCACACAATTATGAACTTCTGAAATCATGGTTCGTGGTTGATGATCATGACAACACATTCACATGCACAAGTCTATAACTTGGAGTAATACACTCTTCATTTTCATCATGACTACGTATAGATCCGAGCTATCAGAGGGAAAACGACGATGAACAAGTTTCTGTCGCGATGTACTTTACAGGAGTAGATCATTGATCATAATTGTTCGTATTTGTCTATTTGATCATTGTTTGTCAATGTTTTGATCACGTTCGGGCAAGGATTTGTCTTGTTTTCCTTACCACGCAGGTACTCCAGAGAAAGATTTGCCCTTTCTACTCTTTCTATAGCAACTGCTAGGTTGCCTTCTAACCATCGTTTAAAAACATTGACGAAAAAGCTATATATTTCACAAGTTTCCAACAAGACAAAATATCGTTTTAGGCAAATGCACTGAATTTCACAAGAAACATGCTTGAAACACGCATAATTTTAATGTGAAACCGCTGCTAAATACTTCTAGTAGTGAGCCTGCTTTATATTTTGTATCTAGGGAGGGGAGGGAACAAATTAACAGCGCTAAAATAGAGAAAATAAAAGATAATATTTGTTGTTACCATGGCAACGGAAATAGAAAAAATAGATTGCTTGTTTAAAATCATTTCTACAGGAAAAATATTCAAGATATCACCACAAAAACCATCTAACCATATAAATAAGGTATCAGAGAAGTCATTTTCATCAAAATTCAAAAATCGATTTTTTAAGTCATTTCAGGTAGACCCCCACCTTATTAACTAAATGGTCAAAAGGCCGTATTTGCGTGAGATGCATTTTGCCTTCGCTCAAACTGACTGTTGTTATTGTTATTATTATTAATATTTAACAGAATTGTGTATAGTCCGTATCTGCGCGAGACGCATTTTGCCCTTATACGAGTTCATTGGCGAAGTCATTTTTAAAATAAACTTTGTCTAAACCAGGGCGTTTATAAGATAGGGCGGCGAAACGCCAGTAATTCGCTAGCCCGCGTGCAGGCCCAAGGGAACTGATAGTGGGCCTGCAAGTAAGGCCCGGTATTTTGTAAAACGCCCCTTTTCATTACACGCCCCATTCGCGCGTCAATTGTCAAAAAAGAACCAATGACAGCACCCAAATATTAACAAACAAACTCGCATTAAAATGTTGCGGGGCTTTCTCTGCTTATTCAGAACATAAACAATGTGTAAATGGCTGCGTTTTAACTCCAAAAAAGCAAGCAACGCAGTCAGTAATTGCCAAATTTGCAAGTGCTCATTTTCAACTAAAATCGAAACAGGCAAATTAGGACGAATTTGAACAGAAAACCAGTCTCAAACTTCAAATCATGAGGGAAGTCGTGCGACCACATTAATGTGTGCTTCGCTGTCGCCATTGTTATAAATAAATTGTCTCACTTATCAGATCGTGTGTGTAATTCTTGTTGGCGGCGGAAAGTACGAAATTTATTTTAGTTATTTCATTTGGTAAAGAACTCTACAAAAGAAGACAGCGTTCAGAGTCCAGATCGTTTCGTTTCAAACGGCAATTTAATACCGTCTTCTGTTTCGCTCTCTCAGCGATTAGCGAAGCCTTGTAAATCGCAAAGTGTTTCGAATAGGCTTACATGCAACTGCATCTCAACATCAACCAAAAGATAATTTTCTTGAGGAACATATAACGTATCAAGTCTGTTTGAAATTAATGAAACTCAAGTGTATTAAAGGCTCTGTGGTAAAGGTTACTATAGTTTACCCCAGTCGTAATGTTGCTATTCCAACACCTCACGACAAGCAATCCCCATTGGCATAACGGCAAAAACATCTCTTCCTTCAAGTAAACAATAAACAGTCTGTTCTTGTTCCATTTGTAATCGAAAAAAGTGATCAATTTTCGAATTTTAATTATCGAGATTTATCGAGAGCCTTTGTAATGAATCACTGACCTAATTATAGAATCCAACAGCAAACAGCCAATCAGAATGCCGCGTTCGTGGGCAAACGCGGAAAGTACAAAATACCGGGCCTTGCTTGCAGGCCCACTATCAGTTCCCTTGGGCCTGCACGCGGGCTAGTAATTCGCGTGAAACATGTGTGATGCAAATTAGGACTGGGGCTAGCGGGGAAGGTGCGAAATTTGAATCAAAACAAAATATTGATGCGAAACTCGAAGACACTTTTTAAATCTCTTATTTTTCCGAAATTATGCAGTCTATCGTTGCCATATTTTGCCATCTGGTTATTTACATTTTTTACAATTTTCATGGCATGGTTCAAGATAATCGTAAAAACAAAAACTACGAAAATTTTGCACATGAAAGCCGAACATCATAATGGATTCCCTTACGCGTTTTTTAGGATGCGTAAATAAATTACTTTATTTTATATCTCAAAAATAAGCCAGAACTTAGCTTTTTTAAATGCATGTTAGCAAAGTACAAATCTTTATTCCTCTTAAATTTCATGGCGTAATTTTTTGAACTTTTTTTGCAATAGTTTACTGAATACAGCATAAAAAATTGATTACAGTTAAAAAATTTCCCAGGTTCGTATAGTTTTAAAATTTACGAATATAAAAGAAATTTAAACGTTTTTTGGCCACTCTTATTCTTAAATCGACAAAGCAATACTTGTTCTTCTTACCAGCATGTTCATCCTTGACCAGAAGCCAACATTTAACGAGTAAATGAGAATTGTTTTCAAACAAGTGTTCGGGTTCATCGTCCTTGCGAATTTCGCTTTTCCAACCGGCCTTCGATTTGTAAAGTATTAAGAGCGCTCGACTGTCCGTAAAAATCGAGCAAAATTTGAATTCTGCGGCAATGCATGAAAAATAGATTTCTTTAATATTTTGCTTAAATTTAGGTAATACCTAGTTATAAATGGTGTTTGGGTTAGATTTTCAATATTTGGTCGATAAACGTACAAATATCAGAAATCAAGAATTTGTCTCCGGAAGGCTATAATTAGCCGCAGACAACGCCGCCGCCATGGTCAATTTCATCACTTCGCGACGGATTCAAAACTGCCCGTAGATAGTTTTGATGGTTTAATGACTATAATTCAAGTATTAAAGAACACTGTTATCAATATAGAATGGTCCAGGAGACTTTAACTGGCCTGACAGACGTCGTTGAAATTGACTATTTTTAGTCAAATTTTAGAATTGCATTTAGTGGCTGGATTTGAAGGGGAAATTTACTATGTGCGATAATAGTGAATTTGTTTATATTTCATCCACGGAATGGTATAGCATGAGTACATGTTATATATAAAAACTAGCTTGGGTTATTGCCTTGGAGCCTCACACGAGACTTTTAAAAAAGCTCATTTTGGTGATTTCCAGTAGAATGTAGCACAATTAAATCATTAGGCCTATATACGGACATACAAAGTCATGAAGCTCAAATTGTCAGTCAAAACTTTGAATTTTGTGTTTCGATATCCAATGTATATGCTTTGTATACTTTATAAAGAAACGTTTAGAAGGATTTTCAAAATATTTTAGTGATAGGTCTTCTTACAACAAAAGCACAACAAATCATCATATTATATTTATTTACTAGACTGCATGTAACGTTGCTATTTACAGCAATTTGCGTGTTGTTACTGAATGTATATTTAATATGCCCTGTCTGTAAGCTTTTGAAGTCTTATAATTTCTCATATTTGTTTAATGCTTTCTCTGCATATGTAAACTAATAGATTTAAAGCTAGGTAAATACAATAAAAGTACATGAGTTGGAACATGAATATGTTTACACTTACGCTAGACTGCATTTTGCTGGACTCTCCTGTTACGAAACTAACAAACAGGTGACCCTCTTCTACATATGCTACAAATAAGAAAAATATGTATGTACATGAGCAAAATAAAAACTGTCAAAAACTCAAAATGGAAGCGACAAGGAGCGACTTCGATGTTTTGCCTTTGCTATGAAAATGCAAGCGGAATAATGAACGTGCCAACTTAAAAACTAGAAATAATTATAGTCTACATATGCAAGAAGTAATTCATGCAAGAAAATAAACCAAAAGTGACTGTCGTTTATATTTCATCCACGGAATGCTATAGCATGGATACATGTTGTATATATATAAAAACTGCACTGTAAATTTCAGGGAGTAAAAATTACCCCTTTGAAGGTCAAAAATTACTCTCTGAAAGGAGTAACTGATTTTAGGGTAGAAATTACTCCATAATGCAGGGTAGTGAGTAGCCAAATCGTTGAATACGGAGGGGTAATTGAGGGGTAATTGAAAGAGGGGTAAAAATTACACTGGTTTTGCGGGTAATGTTACGAGGTGTATATTCGGGGGTAAATTGGTACGGGGTAAAACTTACCCCTTAGTTACCCTTCAATTTTTCAAGATGGCGGCGACGCATGGAGTGGCAGAGACCCGCAGAGTCTCTTCGCGAGTATACGATTGAAATTTAACCGATTAATTTCATACATCAAGCACATAAATTTGTGGTCATCGAATGAATTGATGACTGGCGTCTTCATGGGGCAAATCATTGTTATTAAATGTGTTGGCGTCGCCTGCTTCCTCAGTGTTAGCGTCGTCAATGTTTTCGACATTCGTCTGACTACGTTTGATGTGCTTTCGCCGAAAAAATGATCCACAGATGCAATCATTATAAGACATTTATATGGCTTGTGCCTTTGGTTTATAGATTTCACACCACTCGC